TATAGAGACATTATAAAATTAGAAGATGATAATGTTTCATTCAAAAACTGAACACCTCATAAAGATCATAGAGGCATTATGCATAAGCATAGGAGAAACACAAAATGATCATACATCAAAAGTAAAATGCTGTTGATCATACCTGAGAGCAATAATCATCCATTTCTTCCTCCTTTCGCTGACGTAATTCATCCTAAAATTCAAATAGCAAATATGAAATTGCTAATTCAATAGCAGAAGAACATGTAACCACTAAAAGAATACCATTTCAGGTATACAGGTTCAAATGTAAAAGCATATCAGTGTTTCTACCACAAAAGGAAAATGAAAGAAACCTGAGTTGGTTTGGGGGAATGAGATGCAGAGTAGCCACGCCTTAACTTAATTCCATTTCCACCAAAACTAATTACACTAGAAAAACCAGAAGCATCAACATTAAGCCAAGCCTCCCAAGTATCATCTTCTCCTGTAAAAAGTGCATGAAGTCCCTATATCCATTGAAGTAATTTTACTTATGTATACCATATTAAGAATCAAGAGAATCAAATCTCCCCTTCCAAGAAACTATACACATACAGGAGTGGAGCCTTGCAAATCAACTCGAGCAGCAAAAAGTCCAGATGGTTGAAATGTTCTCCTATGCCAGACCTAAGAACAGTCAAACTTCATCTGTTACTATCACATTAACAAAAGCAAAATAACTGCATTCTCATGTCTAAGTTATGAAAAAGAAAGAGCTTAAGAAAAATTTAAACAGAACACACGAACAAGACCAAACTACAATGAATCTGAGGTTAGGTATTTCATCACTAAGCTTTGCCACTAAAACAGAATACAAAATTTTGGAAGAAGGAAATAGGGTATGTTCTGGAACATAGGCTGTTTCAAAAAAGAAATCAAGGCAAGAGAAAATGGAATATCATAAGGAAAAAGAAGGTGAAGACTGAAGAGGGCAACAGACTCTGGATATAGAATAAGCAATGGTGCTTTCTTGTGAGAACATATCCTCAGTACAAGAAAGATCATTCCTAATATCCACTCATGAATAGATTATGTTCCAGAACATACCATATTCTCTTAGAAAGTGTAAAAATAATGTTCATAACATAGAAATGAAATGAGAAGAGGATAGTAGCAAACCTGGCTACGATATGCTATCTCTAACCGTTCAGACACATCTTCACGAAGTGGGAGCCAATCAAGACCCCCTTTACGAGCAAACCAATGACCTCTTAGAACACGCCGATTTTCTCCATTCCAATAAACAGGGAAACAGTGTCTTTTAACCAAATCTACCTGCAATAATTAAATCATCTCAGTTTTAAAAAATATGCCTTTTGTTTTTTTAGCAATGTATGCCTGGGTTAACAAATGAAAAATCATGCACAAAAAGTGTTCATGGAATAACATAAACAAAATGAGAAAATAATCATTGATTTAGCATCAAGTAACTAAGTAAACCTTGTCTCCATGGGTAAGGATCCTTACAGTCAATAACATCCCATGTGTCAGAATAACACATAAATATATACTCAAATAGAATACCATAAACAAAATCAGAGGTACCTCATAGAGTCCTCCCTTCACGGGAGCACCAACTCTCTCTTCTTCAACTTCATACAGTTTGGCTGATGAAGAAACCTCTGGAGAATATTGATCTATTAGTTTAACCAACTGTTTTTTGGAACTAGCTTGCTCTCTTGGACCTTCACTGCATTCTGCATATTCTCTCCACCAACTAGAAAGTAGCTCTTCTTCTCTCTGTAAACACATATTCAATAAAAAGCCTTAAACATCAAACAGGCCACCATCTTATAGCAGGTTACACATAGTGCATCACAAGAAAATAATTTAGAACTAAACCTAGACAGATATTAATGGAGAACAATGAATTTTGCTTCCTTTTATCTCTGAAAGACTTCTCTTAAGGACTTGTTTTAAGAGTTAAATTAGCATAATATGATGTCTCTCGCCCTGTTTTCCTTTTAATATAAGATCAAGGGTAGAATATATAAGTTCTGCTTTGGTATGACTTCTTTTTGGCTTTCATGTGAGAGTTGATGTATCCACTATCTTGTACCTCTCAACCCCTGTGGATTTGCCTAATCACTGTATGGATGACTATTGCAGAAATAATCCTTGCTATCTGCTGCTTTGAAAGAGTGCCAATTCCTTGACATAATTAATTAAGTCCACTATAATTACTTATCCATCTATCAAACATGCAAGAGGAGAACTTGCACCAGCATAACTTGCAAATAACAGTATAGGGACTTGATCAGGAATCTCAAAGACAAGTGGCAAGTCAAGATGAACATGGTTCCTTGTGAAGATAATATAAGGATAAAAGGCAGACCTGCAAGAAAGATGCCTCTATTGCAAGAGAATCCCTCATTCCAAAACGAAAATAGTCGCCCTTTCCCACTATCTCAGTGCGAGGAACTGAGGCAGCTAGCTCTGTGAAAACCAAAAGCAGCAAAACATCATGAAGTGTACACTAATTATTGGTCTTGAAATCCTATTATTCCTTTTCTCCCAGTGAAACAGTAATAAATAAGATGCAGAAGCTATTGATGCTCATAACCAGTGGCTTATCAGGCCACTGGCATCTCACTCAAGTGTTCAATCCAACTTAAACTAAAAGGGAGATATAAACTTGTTCATCATTTAGGACAAGCTAAACCATGCTAAACTAAATGCTTCATGCTGAGACTGAATTCAAAATTGAACGTAGATTTAATAGCTGGACCAACTGTTTTATAAACTGTAATACATACAATAATTCAGATGAAATGATCTGCATATATTTCCAATTGAGCAAAATAAGGAGGTAACCAGGAAATTTCAAATTCACTAGAAACCCACCATTTTCAGCCAAGGGGGCCTTGTAATAGTACCAGCGAACATCACCCCCATCAGAAGGACTCCTAGTCTGAGCAAGATACTTCTGACGACCCTTGCAGTGCTCTATTACATCCTCCAATCTTGCTATGTTCGATGGCGTGTTTTTCAGCAAATCAGGCGATGTTTCTTCCACTCCACTTCCCCCTACAATCGTGGGATTCTCCTTCAAATCCGCCATCTAGAATACCTCTGAAGCCAATATTTCCACGAGTCAAAAACTCCAATTATGCTATCTCCATCAATAATTATAAGTATCCAAATAGCCTTTCCTCAATTCGCACATAAATACAATTCCATCACAGCTAAATCGGCATTCCCTACATGCAAAACTGAATTTACACACATAAACTCAAATTCATTACCTTAGCAATCTCGATTCCAATTTCAATACCGGAAATTCATCCTCCACCTTTCACCCAGAGCAAAACCACCCAAAATTTTGCATCAAATAAACCTCAAAATCTTGTTTAATATCTCCATAAAATAGCTGAAAATTGAAAAAGAAAAGAACCAGTAGGGTTTATTAGGGTTTTCAGCTAACCTTTTGCGTGAGGTTTGATCTTGAGATGATGATGCTGAAAAACTTCAAAAACACCGCGCATTTAGCTTTCTACGAGTGTCAATAGAAACGAACAAACAAACCGGATTCTCTTCCTAATTTTTACGAATTTGTTTGGTTTGAAATTGGGATGAAGAATGACAGTTGAGGAATTGGAAGACTGGTAGAAGAAGAACAACGATCACACCTGAAAATGGTGGCGGTTATATGCCATTTGGATGTTTTCTGCTTTTTACCGTCTTTTTCTGTAATTTTAAGAATCGAATCTTCTTGTTAAAAAAAAAAGAAAAAAAAGATGGTTAAAATCGAATCTACTTTCGGTTTTTCGAGTTCTAATTTTAATTTTAACTTTTCATATAGCTGCAAACAAATAAAATAAAATAAAAAAGGACTTTTCCCCAGAGGTGGTTGAGAAAATTTAGAATCTCAGATGCGGTCTGCTGGTTAAAAAAAAAAACCCTATTTATCTTTTTCTCGAGGCCCAGATACTTTTTCAAGCCTATGGACAGGCGATTAAGTTTAAAAATCTTATTTGAAGTGGGTGGGTTGTGTCGGTAGCCCAATTATATATACTAGGCCCACCTTAGACCTAAAGGCCATTAAACCTAGGGGCAAGCATGGGTAAGTATGAGTCAAATATCTGTATTTAACTTGGACAGTAATATGTACAAGATTTTACTACCTAGTATTTACTTAGATATTGAAAATTTATACATGTTACTCAACTTGCTAGATATAGGTATGCTTGTATATTTGTCAAAATTTTATATTGAAAATACATAAGTTAATCTACAACTATAAGTTCATACATATAATAGATTTTATATAAAAAACAAAATATGAGTATATATACTCACACATACACAAGTTTATATATACAATAACAAAAAAAATACAAACAAAAATTTATATGCTTTTACTTTAGTTGAATCTTCATTGCCAGAAGAAAAGGAAAAAAAAAAACATAAACATTTTAATTTCATAACATTATATTACAAATTAAGCAAATAAAACTAGAGCAAATAAAACTAGAATATAGGTTAGGTATGTGGGTCAAATATATAGGTTAGGTATGTGGGTCAGATGTACAGGTTAGGTATATAGGTTAAGTATATAAGTCAGGTATACAAGTATTGACCCTTATACCCAATACTTACTCAATACTTACCAGGTCTGCATTTTTTATACCTAGTGTTTAATTGTCTCTTTATAGATACAAGTAAAATACCTACCCAAACAAGTTAGGTACCTATAGATATCAGATATACTTATACTTGATGCTCAGGCTTAATTAAACTTGAGCCAAAAACATCTAGGGAGTGCTTTGGTTTAGGCTTTCTCCTGAAAATGTAACCTAAGAAGTGAGCTAGCAATGACTTTACCTTGGTGTGGAAAATAATTTTTTAGTATCAAAGAGACATAATCTAAGTATAATGACTTATAAGTGGTTATGCAGTCTACAACCATTTAATCAATTATAATCGGTCACAATTTTTCAATCTCATGGCTTAGATTCACTAGTAAAAAATAATATTATTTTAAAAATTAAATTTAAAATTTAAGTTTTAAGTCAACACTTAAAAAAATTAAATTTAAAAGTAAAAAAGGATATAATTGATTATAATTTTTTTGATACTCAATACATACCATTCCAATAATATACTTGCGGTACAAGATTGACAATCTTATTATAAACCCTAGAAATAGTTTCTCCAAAAACAATTACCGAAGAAAAGCTTCCAATTTTGATAATCACTTATCCTTTTAATATAGTTAATTCAAAAAATTATTTTGTAATTTAAACTATATCGAATTGTAAAATAATAACCCTTTAATTGGAGAGGGACCCTTGATATTGGGCTCTCCCCCAATTCAAGAGCCCTAATTTTACAGTTCAGAATAATCTAATTTGCAAAATAATAAACCCTAGTTAATTATATTGATTTAAAAAAAATAATGATTTATATTCCAT